CCCCAAAACCCCAAAACCCCAAAACCCCAAAACCCCTCAGAGAAGATAGACTATTGTGAAATATTTAATAGGGATTATAATTACCGTTACGCTCCGATTGAGAACACCTCAATATTTTCAATTCCCCAATTTGTGGTCAAACCAGTAAAGAAAGTCTCTGGAGTGTTGTAACCCTCTTCGTCCTTGACAAGCTCTTTTGGGAATTCGTAGACTGAACCGATATGGCTATAACTTTTTGATAAGTCCTTGAAGCTGATAAACAAATCACTTTTATTAGACTGCCCAAAGCCAGGGCTATACTTGGCTTCATTGTTCTTCACAGCAAAGGAAGCTTTTTCGGGCTTAATCTTGCAAATAATTGGTTCCCTTCCTGTTGGAGTTGCATATGAAAACAAGAACGCATATTCGGATCCGGAGTAATTGTTAATAGAATCGAATCCTTGGGGAGAGACTCCTCCAAATATACAGCCGTTTGTGGTCTTAACCAAAATAAGAATTGGGCCTTGCTTATCACAATGCTCATGAAACTCTTCTGCAGAGATATCCTCAGGATCTTCTACCATCTGGCCCCAAAGAGGGATCAGTTTTTCATAATTGTTCTTGATGAGGATCTTATAAGCGAAATCGGATTTCTGCTCATTCGATTCCAATATTTTCGAAAGTCTTAAAGAGTTGACCATGCTTTCCAGCTTAGATAGGCTCAACTGTGTGTTGTCTTCAGAGAGAGGCACTGAATTCTCGAACACAACTCCAGTCATTGACTGGAGCATATCTCTTAAACCATTTCGAGATTGTTCTTGTTCAAAATTACTCAAATAGTTATTTAAATCAATATTTGGCATTTTGTACAAAACGGTGTTATATACAGAGATCAAACGATTTTTGAAGAAGTTGAACTGATACTCAAAGTTATTACTATCCCTCTGACAGTTCTGGATACACGCACTCAAGCGGTTGATCAACTCAGTCGTGTCTTTACTTGCATGTTTAGTTGAATTGATGAGCAACTCAGGATCCTGGTTTAAAATGTTCTTCGATATCTCGCAAGCTAATTTTTTATATTTCTGTATAATGGTGTATCTTCAACTTTCAACGAGGTTTTCGAATTCTTTACCGAAGGATTCAATTTCTTTCTCTGCTTTAGCCAATTCTTTCTTCATGAGATCTTTCAGCATAATTATGGAATCTTCATGAGAATCTTTCTCCAGTGAACCCTCTTTAATGGTCAGATTCGATTCACTTTGGACTGACAATTGAGGTAAATTAGTTTTCTTAGTTTTATTCATCGAACTTGTTTGAGTGTAATGGGTCTTCTTTCTTGATAGAGGAATCAGTACTTTCACGCTATTTCTCTTGGTAGTTTTAGTCTTAGTATTGCTAGGGGTTGCAGTGGACACCTTTTCAAAGTTATTATTTATCTCAAGACGGTGGGATTCTTCTAACCCACTGTCTCTTTTACTCTCTATTTCAGAGTCTGGAGCTTTTTCATTGCAAGAAGTATTCTTAAAACTTGCAAAAGACTTAAGATGAATCTGTCCTTGAGATAGTCTAGCATTTTTCTTCTTCTCTGCAGTAGAGTGTAGTGGGGGTAGCTCATTCTTTCTTTGCCTTGTAGCCTTCATCCTTTTTTGAGTACGGTCAATATTTTCTATAAAAAGTTAGCAATCGTGTTTATGATTTGACAGATATTTATTCCTAGGAGAGTAAATAATTCTGGGAATTGAAGCGCTATATTTTCATGGGAATTCATAAGAGTCATTTTATTAATAATTCATGGTGTACTTGGTTTACTCTTTCTGACAGTTATAATATGATCGAATATAAAGAAGGCTTATCATATTATACCCCATAACACTATTTTGATGAAGAACTTTTTACTCTTTAGAACTGAAAGAAAGCAAGCAAATGAAGAAGTCTTGACAAAATTATCCACCAAGCGTTACTCTTTCGCTTATTTCTCAATATAGACATAATATATCATTCAAAAATACTTAAGACAAATCAACTAAAGTTTTTAGAATATGAGGGTGAAGTATAAGTACAAGGTAGTACTATGCTTATTTGATGAGCCCGAAGAGGTCCATCCTTTGCCTAAGAGGTATAAATAATTACTCGCACAATATGATTCCTTCTCTATGGCTAAAAGAGACTAGGGATTTAGTTCCAATAAAAAGAGTTAGTAGTGATTTAGAGATAGAAGGTACAGCTGGTTCAGATTAAAAATATTCCAATAATTTCTATGAGGCCTTCTTTTAGGAAAATTTTCTGAAAGGGACCGTGTAATACTTTATTAATTACTTATTTTATGTCGGCAACCTCCATGCCTTCATAAAAGTTTTAGGCTTCACCATTTTTACCTCTTATTTAAAAACTAATATATGAAAGGACAGTTCGATCCCATTCCTTCGTACATTCACCAAAGTGTTGGACAAGAAACAAAGTGTGCTAATTAGACCTACCATTGTTAACCTTCAGAGCTGGACTAGAGAAGTTCTTATCAGAGTATCTAGCCATTGGAGTTCCATATTGAATTTCTCTAGGTGATATGTCTTTCAGGCATACTCCAGACTTGGTTTGCTCCTTAAAGTCTAACCTTGACAATGTTTTATTGCGTATCAAGAAGGTCAGGTTTCCTCTTTTCTGCTTCCTTGCTAGAATCTTTCTTGTAATTTCTCTCTTCTTTGCTATTTTAGCAGCAAATTTGTTGAATTTGAAGTTTTGTTCAGTCTTCATTTTTACTCAATATTATTACTCGGTTTATTTCAATATTGAAATTGTAAACTGGGGTTTTGGGGTTTTGGGGTTTTGGGG